TGAATTGTTAAACTAAGAGTAAAGAACAGGGTTAATTGGGAGAATTGGACTAAATGTTACATTAACAGCTTTAAATTAGATGTGTTTAACTTGTGTTGTTGAAATGAATCTGGTTAGCATTAATTTGGTAACTTTTTCTTTACGTAAATATTGCCACTGCTATATTTGTTAAAATAATTGAAAATTATCAATTGGTTTAATGAGTACGCACGTATTTACTACAATTTACGATCGCTTTTAATCACGATTATGGCATGTTATAATTTCGATTAAGCTTGTAAAAGATGTTTTTTTCCCAATAAATCTTGATGAACTAGAATTTCCAACTTGAACAGTATATGCTCTAGGACTAAGCAGCCAGATTAGAGGTCCCTAGTAATTAGAGATAGCCCTAATTTTAATTTACTGACTAGAGTATTTAGTCAACATCATCCGTTAACACAAGTGTTTTTTGTCCGTAACTTTGAACCGAATAAAAGGATTGACGGTCACTTTTGTATGGCATCACAGCTGAAAGTAAAGAGCGCTTTCAACGGCATCAGGTCTCGAAACATAGACCTTCTTATCCGAAGCCCAGGACAATAACCACTAGGACACTGTTGATTATTAAAATTAAATAAACCAGATCTGGTAATATATTCAACACAATAAGATCCTACTTAGTTGAAAACCTAACAAATGGTTGTTTTATTAGTTAAACATTAAATAATTGGCTGTATTTTTAATTAAACTTTGAATGTTATTTTACCTTTCCTTAATAAAACAGAAAGTGTGTGATTCTGTATACAATTAAATTTCCATGTGTAGCTCTTTCAATTAAAAACTGATAATTTGGTCTTATCTTTAGTTACATATTATATGAACATTTATATTTTAATTAACTTTCCAGTGGTTCGAGACAACATTGGAAAATATAGTTCTGTTTACACCTAACCATTAAATGTGTGGATATATAGTTGCCTATGAAATATACATTTCGAAATCGCTTAATGTATTTTTTATTTTTTACTTTAAACTTGATTTCATTTCGAAAAGTGCTTTTATACTCGACAAAAACCTCTTTCTGAATAATGAGCTTATGAAACTGTCATTGGAAGACTTTTTTTTTATGGAAGGTGTTAACTTACCAAACAGCATATCTGAATTTAGAACCTGAAAGAGAAAACAAATTTCTGGTTAACTTTAACGAATAATTTTGATTATCTAGAGATAGATTGAAAACCCCGAAAAGTATTAAAATCCACAACTTTCTGACTGTTTCAATAAGTATAAAATAAACTTATACTACTTAAGATACTATTTTTTCAATTGTCAATAAACAGTTATCCCGTGAAATTTTAATTGTTATGTTTGCCTTTGCTAGTGCAGATAACCCTCGAGTATCTTTGTACGAGATTCAAAAGGAACCAAACCAGGACTCGAACCATAAACCGTCAAATACATTGTTTCATTTGGGAGAATCAGGTACACCATATACGATATGGTTATGTTTTTATTTTGCGCAAAGCTACACGAGGGCTATCTGCACTAGCCGACCCTAATTTAACGGTGAAAGACTAGAGTGAAGGCAGGTAGTTAACACCACTCACCGTCAACTCTTGGACCACTATTTTAAAATAGTGTTTGGGGGGACGGGGATTCGAACCCGCTACCCGCAGCTTGCGAGTAGAACACTCTAGCCACCTGGTTACAGTATGGGCATACTAGCCATAGCAACCTGATCACAGTATGGGCATACTAGCCATAGGCCATGCTAAACCCAATAATATAACATAATTTATTAGCCCTCAGACGTCCTCTTTGAGGAACTGAAAAAACAACCTTTTTAACTATAATTGATACTAACTAATATAGTATTAAATAACATATTTTCTCATATAGAAAACAGATAAAACAGTCAAAATTATACAGTTATCGATGCTATACAAATCGATATAATGTTCAAACTGACACATTGTTTGCACTGTTTTTTCTTCTTCTTTTATTTGAAAAATGGATTTCGGTATTTCGACATATTAGAGATATAGGGTTTCGATTTTGTTCCTTTCCTACTGCATCTTATGTTTAAAATATAAATTACATAACAAGCTTAAGTACATCATTTTTTGTGTTGATCGTCTGAATGAACTAAACTCTAACAAATGTGTCTCTCTTTACCACCATATTCGAGAGTGACATAAAGTGGCTTTCATATTAGTGTGGGCCTGGAATGGCCTGGTGGTCAGGTGTGTGTGTGTTTTTCTTATTGCAAAGCCACATGGGCTATCTGCTGTGTTCACCTAGGGCAATCGAACCCCAAATTTTAGCGTTGTAAATCCGTAGATTACCGCTGTCCTACCGGAAAACTGGTGGTTAGGGCGCTTAACTCGCAATTTGAAGGTCGCGGGTCACCGAATATGCTCGTCCTTTTAGCCGTGGGGTAGTTAAAATGTGACGGTCAGTCCTACTATTCGCTAGTAAAAGAATAGCCAAAAGTTGGCTGTGGGTAGTGTTGACTAAATGCCTTCCCTCTAGTCTATCATTGCTAAATTAGGGACGGCTAGCACAGATAGCCCTCAAAACGTTTAGCGCGAAATTCAAAACAAACTACATTATTATGACTTAATTTTTTTTCTTAATTAGAATTATTATCTCGTATGCGAGAGTACCTTTTAATTCTTAATAGATAATTTTAATAAACATCTGTGACTTCAATTTTAGAGCTACAAAATATTAGGCTTAGAGCTCTAAAATTGAAGTTATTAACCCACTGATTTTGTATGTTAACAAAATAAAATAAATTCTACTCACGCCATTACGTATTGGTGGCCTAATAGTGACAGATCTTGGAAGTTCTAAGGTCAGTAGCATGCCACCTGTGTTCTTCTGAGGCTGTGAAAACGTATTGTTTTCGTTAAAGTTATTACCCAATGGATGTGCATTGGTATTGAAATATTCGAAACAGACCAGAAGCGCAGAAAATAAACCCCTATACCATAAAATTTGTTTCATACTGTACAATCTCGAAAGTTCGAGAAAAACGGATACTTTTGGTTAAGATCCCAGATGAAGGAGTTTATATAGTATTTTGAGCTTTACATTCCAGCTTGGGTTTCTGGGAAAAAATAAGCAAAATGTTGGCATTAATAATTTTATTCGAAATTTTCTAAACACCCAATTGTGGTCGGTTTAAGAAAGAGAAAGCTTTGATTGGCGAACTAAAAACCACCCAAAAATTGTTCTGAGGATAAGTCACATGGCCGCTAGCAGAGAAACGACGTGAGTGAAGGGTGACGACCGCGTGAACTGTAATTGTCATAGGTACCACAGGTTTTTCCAAGAAACGGATGACCTGTTGCTAAGGTATTGTGGGGACTCCATCCATAACTCTAGTTGATAAGAAGCTCCTTTTCTCAGCAATAAAAATAGGTGTGGTGTTCATTTTTCGCTTTTGTTAAACCATTTCCTAAAAATGAATATGTTGTATTTCGCGCAAAGCTACACGACGGCTATCTGCGCTAGCCGTCCCTAATTTAGCAGTGAAAGACTAGAGGGAAGGCAGCTAGTCATCACCACCCACCGCCAACTCTTAGGCTACTCTTTTACTAACGAATAGTGGGATTGACCATCACGTTAAAATAATGCTCCCACGGCTGAAAGGGCGATCATGTTTTCTGGGACGAGGGATTCGAACCTGTGACCCTCAGATTGCGAGTAAAGCACCCTCACCACGTGGTCATGCCGGGTGTACATGTTGTATGCAGCAAAGAATGGTTTTACAACTTAAATTAATAAAATCTAATTTTATCTATTACTCTATTTACATGTATCTCCATTTTTCATCACCTATGCTCTTTTTGTTTTTGAATAAGAGATAAAAATGTCTTCAAGGTTCATGGACTATTAAACCATTGTACTATTCTCTTGAACATAAAACATGATCAAATGTTATGCTTGACTTTTAAAGTTGGCTTCTTTCAAAGATTATACTTATCCTTATATTACAAAAATAGATATGAAATGATACTTTTTGCATATTTATGCTCGTCAAACTTATAAAACAATGGATGGTAGGTCATATATGAAAAATAGTAATTATTATTCATTAAGGTTCGTTTGGTAACATGTAAAATTATACTGTAAAGTCTGTAAGAATATATCATAATGTTGACCATTTATTTGTTATATAATTTAGCAAATCTTATAATAAGAGAGGAAGTCTGATCGTTATGCCCCCAGTGGCACAGCATTATGTCTGCGGACTTACAACGCTAGAAACTTGGTTTCGATACCCGTGGTGGGCAGAGCACAGATAGCCCATTGTGTAGCTTTGTGCTTAACTACAAACAAACTGATCGTTATGAAATTAAAATTACCTTTTGGTATAAACATGGCCAGGCGTGGCCTAGTGGCTAGCGTGCTAGGCCATAGATTCGAGGGTCTATAGTTCGAACCTCACTGCTGTAAAGTCGCGCTCAGCACTTTAAAACTATGTGTGCGTTATAAGAGTAGCAGCCAAATCCTACTATTCGATTAGGGTAGCACAACAGTTGGTGATGGGTGCTCTTAATTGATTGTTTTCCCTCAAGTCTACTAATTCAAAATTATGTTACTACTATCGCAGGCAGTCTTGAGTAGGCTTGTGCAAAAATCCGAAACCAACATACAAAAGCATAACTTTTGGTTTAAAACAGTAAGTTTGTATAATATAAAATGTCACTTGATGACATAATGTAAAAATCAACTTGATTTCCTTTTTCTCTGATAAAACGTTTTATCCATGTAAACGAGGCCATAGCTGACAAAATGTTTTCTAGTTTACATGCCTGATAAGTAATTTCATTAGCTCCTGGTGATTTGGAGACACGTTAAAAAGTACTTATAGTAAAGTAAAATTAAGTGTGAAACCTCCTATTGTCTTTATTTCTTAGAAAAATACAAGAATGAAACATTGTGACTTTAATAAAACATAATATATATCTTCCAAAATTAAAAAAATAAAATGCCCAGAATAGAAACAAAGTTAAAGATGGACTAAATCTGTAACGAAGCCCCAAAATAATAATTGAGTATTAAATACTGGTTTCGTTTTTCTCTTCTTTTTTTTCACCCCATTATTATGTGTTTGCCCATAACAGCTAATAGTACGTGACGGTAAGTTTTTAGGCTTAGCCTTGAATGCTGGATAAGTTAGGTCAGTTTGTACATTTCCTTTATAAATGCACATTTTTTGTTTTCTACTCGTCTTTATTGTTTATTTCATAAACTCAAATTTAAGATTATGGTTGCAGGAACAAAAGAAAGCTTCAAACTTAAATATTACAAAACGCATGTAAGTGATTTCCCCAGCACGTGCGAATAAAGATTCTAAGGAAATAGCGAATATATTTCTGAAATATTTATAACTACTTAATACGATTTCCTTTTTCATAAGAAGTAAATCATTTCCGCGGCATCTATGCAAACCATCTTTTATGCTAATATGCTAGTAATTCGCTAAGAAATCGCTTTGACGCTACCGGCGAAAAGTAAATTCCGTTACCCTCCTTCAGTTTCTAGGAAAATGAAAGCAGCAGGCATTAACTCACTTCGTAGAACAGTGACAAAAAGAAACACAGAGATGGAAAAAGAGTTGCACCAATCAAGTCACAAGGAAATTCCTCCACATTACTTCTCTGCCGCTTATCTCTTCGGTTTGTTTTGAATATCGCTCAAAGCTACTCGATGGCTATCTGCGCTAGACGTCCCTAATTTTGAAGTGAAAGTCTAAAGGGAAGGTGACTAGTCATCACTACCCACCGCCAACTCTTGGGCTCCTCTTTTACCAACGAATAGTTGGATTGATCATGACATAATAACGCCCCTTACGGCTGAAAAGGCGTACATGTTTGGTGGGATGGGGATTCGGACCAGCGACCCTCAGATTGCGAGTCAAACGCTCTAACCACCTGGCCATGCCGTGCATTATCTCTTCATTTGTTTGTTTGTAGTTAAGCACAAAGCTACACAATGGCCTGGGCTACTTGTACTCTGCCAACCACAGGTATCAAAACCCGGATTCTAGCATTGTAAGTCCGCAGACATGCCGCTGTGCCACTGGGTGGGGGCATATTTCTTCGGAAGCTTCAACAAGAAAATTATAAACGTTATTCGTTCTCATATTTATTATTTTTGGCTCTTATTTATATATATTTCCTATGTTTTTATTCTTGTAAATAATCCTAAATAAATCTACCTAAAGATATAAAAAGCATTATCATTATCCTCAAAAATAAAACTAAATAATTGATAATACAAAAAATGAAATCAATAAATTAAAACAATAGGCCAATAGAAGCGCAATAGAATAGCGATCATTCAGAGTTACACTTTTTAAATTGTTGTTTATGTTAGAGAAAAGCCACTTTGAACTATCTGCCGTGTCCATTGTGAGGAATCGAACCCTGGAGTTTAGAATGGTAAGTCAATATTCATCCCTTATATTATGTTCACAGAATTATATCGTTTTATACCATTGTGCTAACAAAAGTTTCTTGACATTAGTCTCCCTATTTCAGTCTCTCGTCCATAGTATGTTATGAAATACCGTCGAAGATGTATTTCTTGTAACAACTAGATCGTACACATAAAACTGTGGGTTTGTTTGGCCTTATAGAAACGATTACGAAATTCTGACACTTTCCTTTTTCTCTTGTAGAACATTCAGTTTCGTTACCAGGGAAAATGGTAACTTTAGAAAAGTCAAAATATTCAAATATAATAATAATTTGCATATTTTTTTTTTATACTTAGTGTGGTCAAAAATGCTAAACTGACTTTTTATATCCGTGCTATTTACATAATCAAAAATCATTTGTGTACACAACAGCGCTATCTCTAGACATTTGGTTTGTGTTGATCTTGTTGACCTGAAATTTGTCTCAGAAAAATTCCATTATTTTATGCATTTCAATGAGATTCTACTTGAATATCGCCCCACAGAGGCTCAGTGGCAAGTTCGAGGGCTTATAACGCTAAATATCGGATTTTGATACCTGCGGCGACAAAAGCACGGGTTGCCCATTGAGTAGCTTCGTTCTTAACATCAAACAAATAAATAATACTTAAATACTAATTCTGATATTGTCCTGGAGCCAACTTTTCAGATCTTCCAAAATTCATGCATGTGATTAGAGTCAAACATTTTTATCTTACTCTGATAATCGTTCGTTGATGCTAGAATCTATAGACGTAATTTCAAAACTATTTTCGTTCAATTTTACATTTAAAGAACAAACAAGTATTAACATAAAAAGCATGATAGAATAAGTCGCAAACCTAAAGAAATGTTTATTTACTGTACATGAAAAATCACATAGTTTTCTGATAGTATTTGTAGCTTTAACGCAACATCTACGTTATTTACTCGTTTATTAATTGAGTAACTGAGTACAAGAAGGACGCTTTATTTGAGGGGGCAATACATCATAAATGGGTGAAAAATTGTCCTA